ATTGATAAGTATATATTATTTTTTAAATAATTTAATTGAGTACATGGATACAATGATTTATAATCAATTTAAGTTATTAATTAAAAATAGAATTATAAAATATTAAATTCTATTTAAATAAATAGTTTAATTTAAATAATGAAATTTAAATTTAACCCCTATTCTTAATGTCCTATGGCTCGTTGTTCGCAACCAGGACGTTGTTCGCAAACAGACATTTGATGTTCGGCTAGAGCAGCAAATGAGCTGAATACAAACATATTTTTTTGTGCTTGATATATAAATAAGTCGAACATGACAAATGACCAAACACGAGCCGAGCTTGTGTTCGCTCAAACTCAGCTCCTTTACACCCCCTATTTGGTAGATTATATTCTCGCATATTCAACTCTCAAATTTGACCTTATTTGTAAATTTTTGGTGATGTTAACAACACTACATCACAGGCTGCACGAAAAGAAAATATATGAACATATGCAATATTGTGGCGAGCATTAAAGTGTGAGGCTTCGTTATATTAAAACATTACATTTATAGACCATTTGTCCACAGATTCTGCAAAGTCCAACAAATGATGCTAAATGGTTGCCCACCAAATAATTTTTGGTGATAGGAATATATTAATGTCTTAACATTCTACAAAAATTTAGCACATATGTTGGTAAAATAGGAGCTGATAGAGAGGACACAAATGACAAAGCTTTGTCTGGCATTAAATCGACGAAATAGTATTACAATAGTGGGAGAAATTTATTTGAATTTTATTAGAGTAGCAAAAAATATCGGAGAAGTGACAACAACTTGATTGTGATGATGGAAGGTCAAAGATAAGGGTTGGGTGGTGGTAAATTTGATTTGATATAGATGATTGTGATGACTGTTAATTTATAGTGATCCAACAATCTTAATAGAAATTTATCCGCTTCTACATCACCATAAACCATAACTTTGAGCATTGGGATTAATGTCGGAGTGTCGAAGCTGGGGTGACTCGCTGGAGCTGGAGTCGCTGGAGCTGGGATCCCGGAGTTGGTGGGAAAGGAGAGGGGAGGGTTAGAGCACGAGGGAGAGGGAGAGGGAGAGGCCAAGAGGGATCGGGATTAGGGCAAGTTTGGGGTGTAGCGAATTTTGGTAGTATAAAGGATTATTTCCAACGGCTAACAAACAACTTCAAATCCATAGGTTATTAATATTATAACGACAATAATGACTGTCGGTTACTAAAAAATCTCGTTGGTTAGCGCCTCACCAAATGGAAGTTTGGTAAGTAATCGACGACATATGACCGTTGGTTATTATGTGCTTATAAATAAAGGTGAAATGCATTGGTCATAATAAAAATCATTAGAAAATAATCTATAATTCATAAGCGACGGTATGTCATGTTGTTATACCATCGGAAATAACTCAATATATAAGTCATTGTAAAACCGTAAAAAAATAGATATTTTTACTGATGAAAATTTAAGTTGTTAGTTTTGCCATCGTTTATAGCATTTTTTTTCCATGTACTGTCTGACATTGATGGTTGTGTTTTGGTGACAGAGGCTTGATGTTTTTATGATGATAACATTCTGACAGTGGTAACGATGGCTAGACATTGGTCGCATGATGGCGGTCTTATGGTCGTGGTAGCCCAATAACAGTGGTCCAACACGGAGGAGGAAGTCTGACGACATTGGCTTAACGTCGGTGGTGGTATGATGTCGACCAAGTGTCGGTTGTCTGTGGCCATGGCAATAGCACCCCGACGGTGGTGGTGGCTTGATAATCGTGGTGGTCTGATGATGGTGGCAGTAGCTGCTAATCAATGACAATCTAGCACTAAGTTGATGGCCCAATGTCAAGGGTCTGGAACGACGATGGTGGCTTGATGTCAGCCGGGTTTGGTGGTCTTGTGGCTGTAACTACTCAATGTTGGTGGTCCATAATGGAGGTGGTAGCCTGGCAATGTGCCCTTATAGCGATAAAAGTGA